GCCTGACATGAACGGCGCATCTTTTTCACTTTACCCTTCCCAAGAAACATTAATTTAACTCAAAATGGAAATATCCAAGTACGTTTTGTACCATGTCCCGATGACTAGACAGAGTCGATACCATTCAAACACCACATATGTCTTCACGAATATGCTCTCTCCGGGACTGTGATTAGTCTCTTCGAGGTCCGGAGGGGTGTCGCAAGTCTAGTTCGAATCCATAATTTGTTACAAAAAAAGGAAGGAAGATAAAGTAGTTTTCATTCATACTTAACAAGGTTCATTGCAAACGAGGTATAGCCTCGAATAGAAAACACATGAGGAAAAGTAGATGAAGGAGGGAATGAAGATAACGAACCACTCTAAGGGGTCGACGGGTCAGAGCGTGACCTAGAAGGTTCTTCTTCGGTGTCCTCCAAAAGTTTGGCAATCTCTTCATCCTCCGAAAGTCCTCTCTTGGGAGAGGCTGCATTAAGATTAAGTTTATCTTCCTCCATGGCCCGTCTTGTCTTTTCTATTCCTTCCTCCAAGTCGGGGATTCCTACAGGGACGCCCTCCAATGTGGATAACTTGAACTGCATGAAGATGACATTATGTGCCAGCTCTAATTGCAACCTCATCGTATCAAGCGCTCGAGCCATGGCATCCCTCTCTTTCTGTAACCTATTCACCTCTGCATGTTGGGCATCGGTTGAGTCTTTCCATGACCTGAGGGCCTGCTCAAGGTATAATACACGGAGCCTAGCTCGAGCTAGGTTGTAAGTCAGTGTTGCATTAGCATCAACCAACTTGTTTGCTTGTGCTTCTTTCTCAACCAGAGATGACTCCGGGTGCTCGACACTTCCACAATGTGTGGTGCCCATCTTATCGATCTACTTCTTTAGCTTTTTCAGGTCATCCTTGGCCAAACGGGCTAACAGCTAATAGGTGCCTTGTCTGAGAGTGCCTTTGCGCAGTGGGCTTCCCAATCTTTAGCATTCTTCCTCAATACTTTTATGGTTCTCTCATAAAAGGAGAACATGTCCTAGATATAGATCAAGATATAATTCACCTGCACAAGAGCAATTTGACCTTACATACAAGTCGAACAAAGAAAAAAAAAGACAAAAGGTTGAAAACATTATCCGAAGGGTGCAGTGAAGCACATTGTTCGCCAGCGTGGTTCCGGATTGAGCAAATATCACTTTCCTTTCCAAGGTACCTATCAACCCTTCTAGACACACCATCCCATCACCAGAATGGTTCAGGATATTGACCCCTTCCAGCACATTGATCAAAAATCGGATAGGTGCCAGTGTTCGTCGAAGAACCAGTGAGAAGAGGGCACTGAGCTGAAGGATCCAGTAGGTGTGAACGAATAGGTCTTCCAGTGGGACATCCTCAGCAATTCCTTTCCCCCGATCCAAGTGAGGATTCATACTGGCTCCAAGCCACGGGACTCTGAACCAAGGAACTTCGAACCCTCATCCTCGACTACTATGGTGGTGGTGTCTTGTGGATGCTTGGTTTGAAGGGCGACTCAGGGGATGCCTTGGACACCATTAGTCCCTATCAAAAAATTTGATCCTTGGGAGGCCTACCAAAGTAGAAGCTGACGAGTCTTCTCTTCTTTTCAATGCCGAGTTGCTTGACTCTTTCCATGGCAGAGTCAATGGAAGTGGGGAGCTTGATCAATACTTGTGGAGTTGCCTTCCTCAGAGGAATACCTAGAGAAGAAATAAGCAAAACAATACTAGGGCACGAAATCTTACGAGCCAAACAATAGAAAAGCAGTTGGTTCAAATGCTTACCATGTTCCTTTGCTCACCATCCCAAAAACTATCGATATAAACCTCCAAGATCTCTCAGTTATCGAGGAGGTTGCTAAGATTTTTCTGACCCACTCTTCAATATTCAGAATGCTCTTCGAAACTAATGGCTACAAAGAAGGGAACAAGAAAATGAAAATAATAGATTTAGAAAGAAAATGAAAGAAAGCTATGAGCCAATAAAGAGGAAGTGTCCTCACATTTGTCGTTCTCCGAGATAAGCTCGTACTCAGGCCGAATCAACTCACGAGTAGGGACTACAACAAACTGGTCGAACCAACCCTTATTGTGATTGTCCTCAAAGTCCACGAGAGTTCGTGTACCCCGACTATCCATCGAAATAATTCTCCCCCTAAACGGCTTTGGAGTAAAGAGGTGCAGAAGGTACGGGAGAGAGAACTCGACGTCAGCCACACTTGCTAGGAAATGGAAGCAGGCCACCAGCCTCCAAACATTCGGCCCAACTTGGGGCAAGCGCACGCGCGAATTGGTGGCAGAAATCTAGGATCACGGGATCTATCGGGGGTTCAAACCTGAAGGTAACGCATAAGTATTCACAAAGGAAAAACCAGGACTGTGGGTGGAATTCTTTCGTTCGCTCGAGGAACATGAATGATAACACAGTAACCCCAGTGGCAGTCACAGAGAATTAGGGAAATATGTTCATTACGAACAAAAGAGTCTATGTTGTCAACATGAGAACTCCCAAATTGCCCTGACGCTTTATTCCATGCCTCAATGACCCTCTCGAAATCCAAATATTTAGGGAGAACCTCCAGGACTGAGGGCTCGGAACTTTAAAGTTCCCCTATCTGCCATTGTGAGATTTGGGGGCCTTCTCCTTCACTTCAGAAAGAGCGGCATATGAAACACTCGCAGAAGTAGCAGGTGCATAAGTAGGGGGTTTTCTGGTAAAAGTGGAGAAGTGCATGCAGCTAAGGGTATTGAGGGGTGGTCATCTGCTAAAGGAAGGTCGAAATTTTGAGAATCCATGGGAATAATGAAAGAGGAATTGAGAAATGAAGGACCAATGGGAAAGCTAGTGAAGCAAAAAGGAAAATGAAGGAAAAGGTCTGGAGAAGAATTTAAAGCTAAAAAGGAGGCCCATAGCTTGGTATATATAGGCGGGAAACTCTGTCATTCATAATCGACAAAATCGAGAAGGGTTCTTATCATAAGTAATCATAAAGACTGTAACAGATGAAGAAACAAATGGAAGGCAGCCACATATCCTAGTACATTAAATGTGGACTATGCGTGAGTCACATCTGTGTTAAAGATTGAATTTTGTTGAAATTCCTTTCTTGTTAAAGAAGGATTCTTAGGAAGATTGCCTCCTACCAAAAGATTATCACTTATCAGGCATTCATTGTCGAATCGCCCGACAAGTGGGGGAACTGACTATATTGATAAAATTTACCCTCCACGTAGCGTGCCCGAAAAATCCCGTGTGGCAAGAGAGACACAGAAATCAAGATAGATGATGGGATCCACTATTGGGTTCGGCAAACCCTCTTGCTCCGGAGATAGTGGTTATCGGAAGGTCAAACATTCGAAAGGTGAACGTGCATATCCGGAGACTCAGTTAACCACGCCCAGAGATTTGGATATCGGATGTTACGCTGAGACGGCTACCACTATCGAGGATATCGCTCTCAACTACCTAACCCCCTGGCGCGCTGGCCCAAAACTCGAAGCGGCAACGCTTCCTCTACTACTATAAATCCCGTCCTAATACTTCGAGAAAGGGACATATGAGAAAAGAAAGAAAACTCTCTTTACACACAAAATCACCTTGTTATTAGAATCTTTTTAAATAGCTTTGTAACTCGATCATTCTTGCTATCGGAGATTGTTTGGAGATTGGAAATCAAAAAGAATCTCCTCTGCCTTATCATTCTGTTTAGTTTATTCCATTCTTTCTTATTTATCATTGTTTATTATTTGTGAATATCTTAAATCAAACAAAATGCTAGTGGCCCTGAAAAATATTAATTCAATTGTTTATTCTCAAAATCAATTTTTGGGTCAAATAATTTACATGCCAACCTACGAACACACTTCCAAGAAAATCCTTGCACTACAGAAATAACAAATTTTGCTAAACTATGAATAACATAATTAAAGGATCCGAGAATATATAAAAAGTCAACTTCCTCAAAGTAGATGACACTTGCCAAATATCCTTAAGTCCAGAATATTACGGTTTAGAATTCACCTTTCACCCAGTATGTGCTTTTTAAATAATATTGCCATTAGTAACTTTTCTCATTTATTCCTTTACCAAACAAGGATACGGAAACTGACAATCACATGAAACATCTACTTCTGTCGATGTTCCAGCAAACAAGTCCACGGGAAAGTAAATGAGGTGAACAAATTATTTTGCTTCATTACTAATTGAAAATGAATATTCGCATCATACTGTAAGATTATAATTTTAGCAAACTTGGCATGAAGAATCCATCTTAGATGATTCAATGTTTAAATTATTGTATATACTTACTCATGATTTCATTACAGATTTAGTATCATTACTTTCATTGAAGTTAATAGGCAAATATTTATTTGATTTTATGAATTCAAGTATATTTGGACTTCGTTTTACCTGGTATATAGTTGTCGTAATATGATTTGCATAACTTAGATTTGTTAATACAAATTATTATATTGATTAATTTCCTAGCTAAGAAAAAATATTTTAGCAACATGGTAAAAAAATGAAAACTTACATACAATTTTGAAAATATATTATATATCTCTATATACAATAGTAATAGACACAAAAATCTATATTGATAGGTATAAAAATAGTCGTCCTTAAATAGGAAATATCAACTGACTAAACGGTATTAGACATATAATACGTTAAGAAAAGTAGGAAAATATTCAAAATTAACATGTCTTTCGGTATAACATGGACTTGGTTAAGCAAGATGTTAATTAGCCCAAGATCAAACCACGTACGTGTCAACATTAACAGTAATCATACTCGCCCTCTTCTTTTACAACTGAACAACTTTTGAAAAACAAATCTCTAGTCCCCGCAAACTGTGCGCTTCTTTTTCTTAACCGCTCCACCCATTCTTAAATTATATTAACGCTCTTAATCAACTCTCGCTATACTCTATACATATTCCACCTATAATCATAATTAATCATCATTGCGTTTGAATAATTGGTATAGATATTCAAGTAATAATAACCACAATTATCATTGCGTTTGATTATTCAAGAATTCCATTCGTCATGGGAAGAAGTAATGGAAATGAATCTGCAGATGCAAAATGGCAATTGGTCTCAGAAATTTGTACACTCTCTAAAGGGGTGATTCCTTGTTCCCATCAACACCTTTTGTATCACAGATATTCGGCATTCATCGACTGGTATCTTGTTCTTGATGTACGTGTATTTTCTAGTTTCTTCTCTGACATGCGATGCAAGTTCCCTATTGTGTTTGTCCTTCTTTCTGTGGTATAGAGTTTACAACAATTTGTGGAAGGCTAATAAAACGGGCAGCAATAGTCCTATCAGATCACTGGAATTCCAAACTCGTGACACTATAATTCAAAAAATATGACTTCGCCACTAATACTAATTTTTCCTACTAGGGACTTAACTTGTGGTGTTGTTTTTTTCACATTGTTAACAAGGAAATAAGAGATGTTCAATTGGATGGCTGACCAGGAAATAGAAAATTCAATTACATGATAATTGCCATGAGTCTAATTGAATTTGAACTTGTGTCACTGTAGTTCTCATTGTAACTTCTTGGTCATGGGGTTATCTCTTGGGACTCATCATCTTGTGTTATCAGGTTCTTTGTAATTGGTTTTATCAAGAATTTTGATGGTTCTGATTTCTGAGTTCAGGTCGATGAGAGTGATGGAGCAGATGTCATTAAGCAACGATATCGTAAACTAGGTACAACTAATTTGCAAGATTTATAGTTCAGATTCTGGTTATTATGAACTTTTAATTAAGTTTGATTGTAGCTTTGCAGCTTCATCCCGATAAGAACAAACATCCCAAAGCTGAGATTGCATTCAAGTTGGTTTCCCAGGTAGGGCATAGGAACTTTGGTTTATCATTTTCTGTATTAATTTTAACTTTCATGCTCAGTCCGTGGTACTTTTGGCAATGGACTATGATTCAAATCCCTCATTGTGATATTGTTGATGATGCAAGAACCAAAAAATCATGCTCAGTTGGATACTTGGAGTAGTTTTAAAGTTTTTCTCTACTCCCTTTCTCTTTAAATAGCTACTTCTTTTATTTTCTTTACCCCTATATTCTTGGGAAGGATATCATTTACGCACTCCATGATTTGGAAATTTACGTGCTTTTCGTTACTAAGTATGCTAAAAATAAAGTGGTTTTGTGTTACAAAATTGTTGATTAAGAAAGATTTGTACTACTCATTTAATAGAAAAAGCTTTCTTCCCAAAATAGTCCTTCTGACGCAACACTTTGGGAGATAAATCGTAGCCCCTTATCCTCAAGACTTTGATTCCTCCATGTTTGTCCTTCCTAACTAAAATTTTAATGATGGAGGAACTTCGAGTTTTTTTAACATGTATAATTGTAGTCACTTGTTATATAGGAGTATGATTTATGAATTTAAACTCACTAAAAGTGTGAGCTTTTATCTAAGACGTGTCCTTCACTTGAGTAAAGATCAGGAATGACGCTAGCAGCAAGCTTCCTTTTACCCTTATCCTTTTTGTGCCTTTTTTACTTAAGATTGTGCTCCATTTTTTGTAAAAGAAAACTGATGAATAGTGTCCCTGTTTCCTTATTTTCCCTTTTGAATAATTAGCTAAGACAAACAGATAATTACCTAAACACCAAAAGAATTCATGTTTTGGTACAGGCATATGTTTGCCTGACAGAAGAAGCAAGCAGAGAGACTTTTGAAGCAGACAGAAGAAACCACCACATATGCCCAAAGTGTCACATAAAATCAAGTGAAAAGCCTCCTAGACATGGCAATGTTGCAAAAGTGGCCAAAACATTTACTACTAATGAAGAGGCACGGCCAGTTTCCAGAAGCATTTCACGTGTTAAACAACTTAAAGCCAGATTTATGGAAGAAGTTGCAGTTATAAACACATGTCTGAAGGCGAAATCTCCATCTACTTGCTCAACAGAAGCTCAGACTTTCACAAGACAGAATGAAATACCAATCTTCAATACATTTAATTATGAGTTACAAGGCTATCCTCATCCTAGCAATTATAGGAAGTTGCTGCATAGATTTCAGGAAAGAAGCATTGAGAAACATGTTTCTAGTAGTCACGACTGTAGCTATCCAGTGTTTGAGCTTAGATCAGAAAGGGAAGCATATGTAGATAGATTTAGTAGAACCGGCTCTAAGCATAAGTTCTACAACTAGCAGACACCATGATGCACTTTTCATCTCCTTTAAGCTGTCATTTAGTGTTTGGATCATACTACGCTGAAAATATACAACTTACAGCTAGCAATGAATGCTTCATTCAAGTTTTCAACCTGAGTTTCCCTATACTTTTCTCTTTTGTAATTTCTCCATGTTGTCATAGACAAATCAGGACAACTTCAAACACCTCCAAAAGATGTTTCTTAATGATAAAAAGACGAGCTTTACTGAATATTAGGAAACAATGCAAGACTTTAACATAACAAAAGTGTTCCACATCTTTGTATATGGTACAACCAAAAGAAAAATTAAAGATTCTTTTATCGTATCACCTATTCATTGACTTACAGAAAACTTCATCTTTTGAGTGTGAAGACATTTACCAGGAACTCATCCTATGCGCTCCTTGATCACTATAATAACCTTGGACACTGGAGTCCAAATGCTTGATCAATCTAAACAAGATCATGGACTTGTCATCCTCATTGTTGGCTCATTCTGCTTTAGCAGATCATTTGGCTAATTTGAGGATACCATCATCTACCAAGGGCTGAACTTCCTTCTTCACAAGCTTGTGTACCTTAGAACTTGAAGTTTCCAACAGTGCACTAATCACTTTCGCACTGCAAATTGTAAAAGATGTCAGAAAGAGGTTTTTCCTCAGCAAATTTGCTTAAAAGGAGGAAATGAGTTCAACAAACCAACCTGTGGCCTTGAGCCCAAATTGCGCATTTCCCTTTCAGGGCTTTCTCATACAAAGTGCTAGCAAAAGAAGGGGAGTCCAAGATCAGTTTTCTGATGGTCCTGCTAGAATGGAAGTGTTCAAGGAGATGTTCTTTATCTGATTCCTCCACTTTAGGATGTGCTGCCAGAGTTGCTATAGCACCATGTAAGGTTTTCAACTTTCCATCTAAAGTTGCGTGAAGGATGCTGTCTGCACCTCCCATGGCGACCTATATTAAACAAAAATGAGTGCAAGTATATTCTTGATAGCAAAACAACATATTTAGCATGTTTCAAGCAGTACAGTAGAAGTTTGAAACAAAGTTTATGTTCTATAGGACCAAAAAAGATATATGCATAGTTCAGGAAAGAAATCCAACATTTATTCATGAAAACTATTTTAGGACAGAGTGGTGTTTAAAGGTTATGATACATTGAAACTGCAATAAGTTTATTAAATCAACAGGGCAATACCTCATAAATGACCTCTTTACCAAAGTTTGATTTTAGCAATTCCCCTGCCATCTCACAACATGCATCGATGAGTTTCTGCAATATTGATCAGGAATGACTTGGTAAAGGGGATAAAGTTGAATACATAAATGACAGGACAATACAGAAGACATTTCATTTAAACAAAAGGAGACAGCTTTCAAAGAGCTTTGAGAGTTAAAAAGAGTGGCAGAAGGAAAGGATCACAGAAAGTGAAATGGGCAAGGCAGCAAGCTTGATAACTGAGAATAAAGAACAGCTCTATAGATATATGAATGAGAGTAGAAAATATTCACCTCAGCTAGCCCACTGTTGACCAATAATTCTTGCCGCCTTGTAAGAGGATCCTTCTTTCCTCCTCCGTTCAAATGTGAACTTTGGGTGGTGTCGGTTGCAGCACCTGTGTCACAGCTATCTTCTTTATCAGCTTCACCAAGCCCTGAAGCTTCTGTTTCTTCATCCAATGCAACATTTACATCTGAGGGGCTCTATCAATTTTTTATTTCAAAAAAAAAAGATCATTAAATTTAGCTGCACAGCTTACAACACTTTTCAGAATTTCATGAAAATTTCCTTTTTTATAAGGTAATGGTGTTTGGGATCGAGGTGTAGTTGTTGATAAAAAAATGGTATAATTTCACAAAAAGCTTGAAAAGATACCTTGGTGACAAGAGAAGGAACAGATGAACCATGAGCTGCGAGCTCATCAGGGCTGAAATGGCGTGAGCTATTTGGATGCAATAATTGCAACAATGGGCGTCTACCATTCTGTGACAGCCAGAACCAACAAGCACAATAATAAATTCACAGGACGCATTGCCAGGGGGCAGGGGGCAGAAGATTTTATACAGTAGATGAAGGATAAACCTGATCTGAAAGAAGCTCCGTAAGGATTCCTTCAAGCTCACGAATGATAACCTGCAAAGAGTTCAATGTGACCAGCTTTAAGAGTGGAACTCTTCATCACAGGCTGCAGCCTAGATAAGTTAGGAAAAGCAGCAGGAACAAACCTTTGTTAAAAGTTTCGTGTCATCAACAATCGAAAGGATGGAGACAAGCACCTGAAAGTTTTTGAGAATGGAAGCTGTGAAACTAATAGAATAATAAAAGTACTATACAAGTGAGAGACAGTGGCATGGATGAAGACTGGAAATATCTGAAAGAAGTCACAATGGACACAAATAGACCAAAACACATGGCAAATGCAAGAAAATCATGCTTACCAAAGTCCCACATTTATCACGAGCTATCTTTCCGACCTTGTCTTTCATCCCTTTAATGATTTTCTTTCGGTCCTAAAACAGGAAGGTTCCAAAAGGAATTTGAAATAAGTTCACTTACAAAAAATCCACTAGGACATGTTTAGGATATATAAAGAGTGCTCCAAAACCTTTGCAGTCCCATGTTTGATGCAAAATATCCCAATCCTGGATCCATCCTTTGTGTGAATCATTCGAACAAGGTCTGGACTTGACAACTGCTGGATTACATCTGCAGCAGAAGACTTAGAACAAACTAAAATTTAGAAAGGGATGATTCAGAATAAGCCAACTGATTAATTCCTCATTATGGTTTCTGAGGTACCTGATCAGCAATAGTTAAGTACTCCACAAGTGCCCTGTGTATAATTGAGTGGTCTAGTATTCCTTTCTCCAAAATAGGCTGAAGTACAGAAGTCATGTGCCGTATGACTGAAGTCTTTTGAAGCTTTAGCGTGGATATAACATCAACTATTCTGGCAGTGTCATAAAATGTGAATGGGGGCTAAATCAGAAAGCAAATGCATTCATAAAGTTAAAAGATGAGATACGATGTAAAGTATACTCTTCATAAGAGAACCAATATGATCTAATATTAATTGTATGCAACACGCTTTGTTTTTTCGCACCAAAATTTGCTATCAATACACAGAGGAAAGGCGATTACCCATTTACTCAACAATATCAAATGAAGGAGTAACAGTAAAAGGATACTTCCTTGAGAGAAAATGACTTGCAGAGAAACAAAAAAAGTATCATAAGGATCCATCACAAAAAAAAGTGTCATAAGGATATCCCTGTTGAAGAAGTAAAAACATGTCCCAAGCTGACACAGAAAACTATTTAAATAGCCAAAAGTACATATGCAGCATGCCATCATTTACAGCTTGAATTTTTACCTTGCTTCCTTCAGTGAGGTCAAATCTTTGAACAACTGAAGCTCGGGGGAATACAGCTCCATGAGAAGAGTTTGTTTCTGAGCTGCGTTTNTATGCCTAAGAAGAGTAGCAACATGCCCATGAAGAGAGGAAATAAACTCCGCCAGCTGCTCCTTGGATGCTGCAAAGCACAAACGAAGCAGTTAAAAAGACACGAAAGACGTTTTCTCTGTTTGAGTTGATCAAATTGCTCAGAAGAATAATTAGTAACTCAATCCAGATTACCAGTATCAAGCATCTTTGTCACCAGATGAACTGCATAGGTATTGCTGGCAAGAGTGATAAAATGAGGCCGAATCTCCACAAACACAGCATTTCTTTCATCTTGTGTACAATGTTTCACACAAGTCTAATGTTAACAAAAAAGAGTTAATAAAACCATATGGAGCATCATAAATCATTGTCATCAACAAGAAGAAAAGGGAGGATGAACCTGAAGAACACGAGAAGAAACATGGGAGCTTGCTATTTCAGGGATCTTCCCTTTCATTTTCTTTAAGGCATCACTCACCAATCTGCATCAATGGATAAAAAGATTGAAAAAAAGACATTATAAAGACTGAGTAACAAATAAATTACCATCTTCCCGCAAGATTCAGGATCAAATCAAATGTTTGAAGTTATATGACAACACACCTTGATCTTTCTTCTTTTGCAATATTTCGAGTTCTCATCTTCTCCCAGAGTGATGCGAGCTCCTATCAAGAGACCAGTGGTTGAATGACTAAACAATTAAATATGATAACACAAACAGTTGAGCCAAACAAACAATCAACTATTAGAGTCTTCATGAAGCCATGTTAAGGTTGAAGCACCATTGTGATAAAAAATATTTCAATTAAAATTTTAGATACAAATTGTACGCCCCCGAGGCCATCAGATCAAATCCAGTTTCCCCACCAACCCCCTTGGTTTATTTGTAAATTCAAGCAATCCTTACATTTCCTATAAATAAGTTAATGAACATATTCCACTAGGATAATAAGATTGAACAGAAAATTTTTAAGAAAAAAATATTAAGATGAAAAGAAGTGTAATAGCAGCAGTAAAGCATAAACTGATGACAATATAAAGATGAAAAGCTTGTTAACGTTGAAATTTAAGATAAAGGTGCCATTTATTACTATTATAATTACCATTATTGATAAACAAAAAGGCCGTTTACAGATATCATTTTATCTTGGCTTTGTTTAAAGATGTAGAGAAATGGCATCTTTATCTTGACAAAATAAAAATGTCATGTTTTAACATCTGTAAACGAAACCGAAATAAAGATTGATTCATCTTTCTTTCACCATAGCCATCAGAAAAAATAGCTTTGGTAAATTTCAAAAAAAAAAAAATTAGTCAGCGGTATTAAAAGTAACTTAAAGCTTAAAAGAATGTAGTACTTGCTCCAATGTGTAATGTTTCTTCCTCTTCTTCTTCCTTGCTTCAGCTAGCTCCTGCAACAAAACCCCATTATTAACCAAACACTAATCAAAAGGACATTTTGCAGCTCAAAATTATTAACTTTTCAAATTATAGCAAATATTAAGCAAATAAAACGATCTTGGGACTGAAATTTCAATCTTTTCTCCATTTGCATTTCCCCCCATTGCCAAAACTTCAACGAAACTACGAAAAAAGGCGAACCTGGGACTCATAAATATAAACGTTTCAACAGAAAAAGTAGCGTACCTTTGCCTGTATACGACGCTGTCGCTTGGTATCAACTGGGTCGTTCCCAACATGAGGCTTAGGTTGTTGCTTTTTATCTCCCGGCTTTGAAAATTTATTATGGGGTTTCTTCAGAACCTTAGCGGGAACACCAGTTGATGATTTCAGTTTCTTGGGAGTTGATTTCCCTACGGCGGCTGCCGGAGCATGCTTTCGCTTTTTGGAGTCGTCTCTTTTTTGGGGTTTTGCTGCCATTGCTGTTTACTCTGAGATTCAGCTTCGCTATGGTCTGTGAGTTGGGGTTTTGCAAGGTTTTTAGTTTGTGGGTTGGGCTTGCAGGATGAAAGACTTAAGGGCCGTTTGGTTCAAAATTATGTGGGTTATTCGATATAAATTTGGGCAGTTATTTTATACTATTTGGTTGGAGTTATTAGCTAAAATTGGTAGTATTATTTTTCTATTAAAATCTAAATATTGTTATGAAAATATTATATTGTGGATGTCCATTTATTACTCTGTTGTAGATAATCTTACTGAAGAAGATTATCCATTTAGTACTCTATATTGAAGTGTATCTACAAGCAGATGATGCAGGCAGATTGCAAGCAACTCAATGAAATGACTTGCAGCAGTTTCTTATTAAACAGGCATGTTGCGAGCAGCTCATGCAGACAGCTTACAAGCAACTCAAGAAAAGCCTCGCAGTTACTTCCTGAAAAGCCTCGCAGCTGCTTCCTTTCTTCTATAAATATAAGAGTTTTCAGTTCATTATGTACATCAGTTTGAAGTTGAATAATATATCAGCCTCTCTCTATACTTGTCTTTGGTTAATTTACTTTATAATCTTTATTTTATAACAAATATAACTTATTACATATAAAAAATAGGATAAATAATTCCAGAATTATAATCTTGGGATATCCTAATTTTCAAAAAAATAACTCCTACACATTGCCTTGCCCGTGATGGACCAAAATATAAACCCTAAAATAAGTGGTCGATCATTTGGTTTAGAAACAATAAACAAATTCGGCACAAAATGTAATACACAGATTAGTAATAAGGATTACAATATAAATATTATTTTAATTGAGGTTGTCGCATCTAATTTTAAAGCGGGATTAAAATAAAGTATTACATCGAATATTTTCAGGGGTAAAAAAGAGTTGCTACCTAACAAGTTAACAAGGTGTATTAACCACCTATTTATTGCTAATTGCATTGATTAGCTCCATTAAAATCTACAAATTTAAAGATCTAGGTAAGGGTTCAAATTAAATAAAAAAGAACGTGTTAGACACCTTTCAAAATCCGCGTAAGGCGATTTCCATACTTATATTAATTGGAATTATATGATTAAGACATACAAGTTATTATTCTAAGTGAGCTAGGCATTAAAGAAACAAAAATAATAAACAATAGAAAAGATAAACTTTAGATACTAATAAAGAAAGTTTTATACGGTAAGCCAATTCGAGTACAAACTTTACATAAGAGAAAATAAGTATACAATTTTGAAGAAAGACCGAATCTGAATTTAATAAAGGTTTGAATAAATACTTGGCTATCTTACGTAATAATATAGAAAGTTTTATACGATAAGCCAATTCGAGTACAAACTTTACATAAGAGAAAATAAGTATAGAATTTTGAAGAAAGATGAGTCTGAATTTAATAAAGGTTTGAATAAATACTTAGCTATTTTACGTAATAATATAGATGTAACAAATAGAAATACTAAACATATAGACGAGGTTAAATTAATAAAAGTTAACTAAGGCTTTTTACCAATAAATCAAAGTGCAATGATTGCTCAAGCAATTTGTCTATCTTATCCAGCTACTTAATTACTACTACTAGTTATATTGTTTACTTAAAGCGTTTCTAGTGTGAAATCCTATTTCGTGGGTACAATTGTATTTATACTCAATTTTTGGGTCACAATTGAAGTTATACTCATTTTGCACAAAAAATTTCAAGCTTACCCATTTTATGATCAACTTCAGACTTATCGGGTTATCTATACCCCTGCAGTCATACTTTGGATTCAAATATATCCCTCATTTAAACGGAGGGACACGTGTCATCGTCCTGTTGGTCAATTCTAAATATCTCCTAATTAATTAAAAAGACACATTAACTATACCCGAAAAATAATTATTTTTATTTGTAAAAACTAGAAAAAACTGAAATTATTTTTACTAAAAACTTAAAAAACGAAAATATTTTTTTTTCCAGTTTTTACAAAAAAACTGCTTTAGAAAAAAATAAAAAATATTTTCTAAAACAATGTTATTGTAAAAACTAGAAAATAAAAAAGTTGAAAATCAATTTTCTAAAGCAATTTTTTTTATAAAAACTGGAAAAACTGATTTTTTTTTTTTACTAAAAACTGAAAAAAATGAAAATATTTTTTTTCCTGTTTTTACATAAAAACTGCTTTAAAAAAAGCTGAAAAATATTTTCTAAAATAATATTTTTGTAAAAACTGAAAAAAAAAACTAAAAAATAATTTTCTAAAGCAATATTTTTGTAAAAACTGAAAAAACAAATATTTTCTTTTTTCAGTTTTTAGTTAAAAATATTTCAATTTTTTTCAGTTTTTAATTGCTTTAGAAAATTGCTTTTTAGTTTTTTTTCCAGTTTTTACAAAAATATTGTTGAAAAAATTATTTTCGTTTTTCAGTTTTTTGTAAAAAAAATTTTTAGCTTTTTTCAGTTTTTACAAAAAAAAAAAAATATTTTTCGGGTATGGGTAATGGATCTTTTTAATTCATTAAGAGATATTTAGAATTGACCAACATGACGGTGACACATGTCCCTCCGTTTAAATGAGGGGTATATTTGAACCCAAAGTATGACTGCAGAGGTATAAATAACTCAATAGTATAACGAGGAGTATTTTTAGACTATTTTCGAAAGTAGAGGGGTATATTTGGCCCTTTGCCGAAAAAACAAATATGAAGTGCAATGCACTTAAGGCCAATTAAGTCTAAAGTGCAAAAACTGCACTTAAGATGCACTTAAGGCTAAATAGGTATGAAGTGCAATAAATGTTTTTATGCACTTAAGGCCAAATTGTTCTAAAGTGAAAAAAATACATTTTATATGCACTTAAGGCCAAATAGGTCTGAAGTGCAACCAGTGTTTTCATGTACTTAAGGCCAAATAGGTCTGAAGTGCAAATTGCTTAGAAACAAAATCTTGTTCTTCGAATTTCAACAATCCAATATACGATTTACACCTAAATCTACTCCAAATGAGCTCAAATTTGAAACATAGCCTCCAAATATCATCAAGAACAAACTCCAATCATCAATTTATCAAAATAACAATAAATCTAACAAAGTCATTTCGCAATCAAGAAGAAGAAGAAGAAGAAACCCTAAGTAGTAGCAAAAATAAAGTGCCATAGTGTTACGACCCAAAATCCCACCACAGGCGTCGTGATGGCACCTAGTCTCTAAGACTATGTAAGTTGATTACTTACAACGATTAAGCTAGTTTTAACAATGATAATTTAAAACAGAGTTTAATGTGAATACCGAAATAAAGCGAAATAAGCCTACGCGACAATAATCATAACAACCTCCCAAGACTAAATAATACAGAGTCACGAACTCTAGCTGAATACATGGAAAGATCTCAAAGATCGAAATACAATACTGTTCAAATGACAAGCTCACAATACAATGAAAGGAAAAGGACTCCAAGGGATTGCGACGACCAATCAACTCTACCTTGAATCCTCGCGATCAATAAGCTAACTCTGCCCGAGTCTAATATCTTCAATACCTGGTTCTGCATAAAAATGTGCAGAAGTGTAGTATGGGTATACCACAATCGATACCCAGTAAGTATCAAGACTAACCTCGGTGGAATAGTGACAAGGTACAAGTCAAGACACCTACTAGTCAAAATAACATGTGCGGTATAGAAGTATAAAACTAATAATGAAAGAAGGAATCAGGAATCAGTAAATGACGACAAGAATCAACATATGATATAAACAGTAAAGTAATATGAACACCGTGAAAGTACCATTGAAACCAAATGAGGAAAACAAATAACAACCAATTAAATCAAGCCGTTCTAGCACAAGTTTCGCAACGAAATTACTCCGAGATACCTCACCTCATAATCACAAGTCACGAATCTCAAACCACAAATCATAAGCTCACGATAACTTGTGCCCACATGTCTAATCACAACCGCACGGATAACTCATGTGTCAATTCCTAATCCGCCTGACATGTTTACAAGCTCACAATCACAATCCGCCCGACATAGTCACAGGCTCAATATCAACATGAAAGCAGGTAACACAAGAATACATGGGCATGATCAATAGATGTTAAGTTTCATACTCCCGAACTAGTATAAGTGGCATACTAAGGCGTATACTTGTACGAGTGTTCTAGTAAAACCCAAGTCAATAAGTAATATCAAAGGCATCGAGTAGTTCATTGAAAGCAACACCACAAGTCACGTAAGGTGTATGACATACACAAGGAGGATCACACTATCACACAAATATCATCAACATAATGCCCCCAGGCCATCACACATCATCCCTGACATTGCCACCCTTATCTCTCTGATGGCCACCCATATTACTCCGCCTTGACAATATCATTAGCCACATGTATCACTCTGCACAATAGCCACCCTTATCGCTTCGTCCGGATAATAACACAATAGCCACATGTATCACTCCGTACAATCAACAGCAGTGAGATGTCACCCTTATACCCCCGCATAATAACCACAGTGAGATGCCACCGGTCACGACCCAAAATCCCACCACAGACGCCGTGATGGCACTTAGTCTTTAGACTAGGTAAGCCGATTACAATTATATTTCAAGCCATTTTATTTTTGAAACATATAATTTAATACAAGTGTCGAAACCAAAAGCGGAAAACAAATATAACCACCTCCCAAGACTGGTAATACTGAGTCACGAACTCTAACTGAAAACATGCAATGATCTCAAGGATCGAATATACAATATTGTTCGAATAAGAGTTGACAGTACAATAAAATAAAAAGACTCTAAGGGACTGCGATAACCAAGCAACCCTGCCTTGAATCCTTGCGATCACACTCTAATCTCTGTCCGAATCCGATATCTCCAATACCTAACTCTGCACAAAAATGTGCAGAAGTGTAGTATGAGTACACCATAGTCGGTACCCAGTAAGTATCAAGACAAACCTCGGTGGAGTAGTGACGAGGTACAGTCAAGACACTCACTAGTCTAATAACTTGCGCATTATAGCAGTATACAAAAATAATAGAAAATAAAT